GGCATTCAGGGAAAGCTCCAGAGAATAAGAAAGAAGTTGTCGTAAATAATTTGGCCCCAGGGTTTTCGGTCCAATTGACTTCATTAGGTTTATGTCTCAGGACCCTAAAGAAGCCAAGCACGTTCTGAATGGGGGTGTACTGTACCCAAATGTATATTTGCCTATATGTTTGTCTGTTTGCCAACATTATTTTCCTATTATTTATTTAATATTGTATGAATATTGGTAACATGCAGATAGTTAACATATTGCTGATCCATGTTTCCCTGGGTATCTCACCCTAGCACCGCAGGAGTCCTTGTCCCTCTCTATATTGCACACGTTTCATGCCCCACTAATTCCATTGAGAGTTATGTGGGAGTTGGGAAGGAAAACACAGCTGGAGGAAGAGCACCTGAAACAAATATTTACCAACAAAAAGACAAACTGGCCTCCTTCTAAGACAGCATTTCTCAGATCCATGTATTTTAAAGGGCAGAATCGTCACTGTATAGAAAACAATTAATATACAGAGCCTTTCTTATGCAGTGCCTAATACCAAAGTGTGCTCAGCATTATTAGTAAATCATAGTGTTTTATGATAAGCTCATGGCTATTCATCTGCCTTTTTTATAGTGCAGCTTTTGCAAAGCTGCCCAAGTTAATTCTGCTATAGAAGGCCTGTGTGAAAATAGAAGCATTTCATTAAGAATACATTAAAAAGAAACTAAAGTGATGAAAATATGCCAGTAATGAATCTCCACAATTAATGGCCCAAATTAATGAAGGTTTCTCAATCCAGGAATGAAAAAAGAGCTTCTGGAATACTTGTTCACAGATATCAAGCTTTCAACACCAGAAAAGAGAGGATTAATTTGTGGCCTTTTCAATGGATTAATGTTATTTGGCACAATTTGTAAAGTTCTTTCTTCTCTCTCATCCTTAGGTATATCATCAGACCTGTATGCTCAGAGCTATGGGAGGAAGCAGTGAGTAAAAGGAATAATGCATACATTATCCCTGCTTCTGGTGAAGCATCCTGTGCATCTGCACATTCAGTTAGTTTTGGAAATGGGAGAAAGTGCTTGGGTAGCAATATTTTTTCAGCTGTTTTTTACGTGGAGGTTTAATATGCACAGCCTGTCTTCAGTACACCTGTATGCAGGAGGCTGAAATGGATCTTTTAGGGAAATGCATTTATTTTGCATTATCCTCGAATAAGCTTTACCATGTGAATACATTTGAGGTTCTTTTGAAGTAGGAAGACAAATACAGGACAGGTGTATTTAAAGGAATTCCACATCTGACATAGACTGATAGACGATAAGGATAATCTTGCTGATAATATAATGTTCTATTAACAGTAATTATTAATAACAGTTTATTTAGGCTTTCTTTAAATCTTGGAGAGACATTTAAAGAAACTATATGTATTTCACACTCTCCTGCATACTACTGTAACTTATGGACAGCTGGCAAAGATGCACTGTTTGGTCATCCAAGTCTGTCTGTCTCTTCTTGTCTAATTTACCTTCTGATGATAAGGGTATTTAAGGATATTTATGTTTATTAGAATTGATCCAGAGGTGAATATGCCTAGCACTGGAGTTATATGCTCTTACCAGGGCATTCAGTGTTGGTGTAACATTTACCATCCATAGTTAGAGACAGTCAAAAGTTGAGTTTTCTGCAGTAGAGAGATGCTAACATCAAATTCTACCTTTCAAAACGTTGTGGGGAAAGCAAAATCTTCCAGAGCTTCCCATTTACTTGTAGTTATCAGCAACAAGAAGCAGGAATTTCAGAGTAAGAGCTGACACTTTAATCTACAGAGTTTTATGGAAGGTCAGGAGTGTATGAAGCTGCAGGTGGCCAATGTTAGAAAAATTCAGAGCACCCTCAGTGCCAGGACTGGAATAGTACCAGGACTTGGATGAGACTTCTACCCAGGCAGCTTTGTCTTTCATTGTTATGGATAGCACAGAACTAGAGGACACTGTCTCTGCTTTCTACGGTCCAGATGAGATAGAACAGCACTTGGGCTCATTCCCCATTGCCCAGTGTTTCTGTAAAATCAGTGTATTAAGCTTGATGTTCTTGCCAGATTCCGATAACCACTGTTCTTTCCTTCCAATTTTGGTTGCTGTGTAGTTATTCTCATTATCAGCTTTTGCCTAGTGCTACTGAACATGCTGTTCTGGTGACTGGTTCTCAGGAACCTGTCCCTGAACAAATTTTTAGGGAAAAAACTTGGTATTGTGTGAGCAAAGCTGCACATTTCAGCTGAGCCTGCTGAAAGGGGAAATTCACCTCCTGCCACCCCTTCCTTAGTGCTGGCTTTGGGGCTTGTTGGACCATTTTTCAGCCAATTCTGTTTCCTATACCCAGCAGAAAGATTTTAATTTTTTATTTGCTTGGTTATTTCTTCTGGTGTAGAAGGAAGGCTTTAAGGTATGTAGAACTGGATCAGAACACCAGGCCATAGTATCCAAATGCTTATCAGGGTAAAGCTAGGTGAAAGCTCCTGAGATATTAACCCTGCTAGAGTTAGTAACTTCTGTCTGTGTCTTTTTAGTTTTCCTGTAGGATTTTGGGTTTGTGGGGGATTTGTTGTTGTGGTTTTGTTGGTTTTTTTGTTTGGTTTTATTTTATCAGGTCTTTCCTGCTGCATTTCCATTCTCTTTGTGCCAGAGTCACAACTCCCAAATGTTGCTTCCTGCCCTCCTTTTCAAGGAAACTCAGGCCAATATTATGTCTGTGTTTTCCTTACTGCTTCTCTCAGGGCATAAGTACCTACATATATTTTTTTTTCCTCTGGGCCCACTCCTAGCTCCTGGGCATATAACCAGCTTCTCAGTACTTCTGTCACTTCCAGTGGGGAGCTCCAGGCATAGCCCAGCTTCTGGAAGGGATCAATCTGGCAAGTTGCCCTGACAGACAACGTGACTGCCAGCGGAATGAGGACACAAGTCCCCCACCCTCAGCTTCTGAAGCCCTTTAGCCTTTCTCAAAGGAGAGCAGTAGTAGGGCAGCCAGGAGCATTAATATTGTACTTTTCTCAGTCCCTGTTCCTCAGGAGGGATAATTACAGCAAGCCCAACCAGAGCATCGTGCCATGTAATGTACCCACAGAGCTGTATCCACAGGGCTCTGTGGCTGGAGAAGGGCCTGATTCCCTGCCAGGGGAGTCCTGCTGGACTGTGGGATCAGGCAAAGCTAAATGTAGCTGCCTTGGAGCAGTTACTACTGCATTCTCTTTGTTAGAGTATTTCTAGACACTGAGTCATTTTGTATTTGTCTCTGCTTAGAAATATGTGATTTGTCCCCCAAAGTGTGTATCTGTGTGTGTACCTATAAAACATACATAGTAAAATATGATGGATATGTACTTATTAGATTACATTGTAAAGATTCAAGTGATATATTAAACATTTTAAGTACAAATAATTAATAACATTTGAATAATTAAAAAATCCAAAAGAGCTTTTTTCTCTCCTTTGCCATTCATTAGAATGAACTGATTCGGTGCCATTTTTTTTCGTCATTTAGTACAGTCTCTACCGTGAAAATGTATTTTGAGACATTTTCATTTATTTTGATGCACAAGGAAAGACTAATCAGCTAATGTTAGAAGACTAACAACATTCAAATGCAACAACAGATGGCATTAGGAATATTGCTTGAATAGGAAATTTAGGATGAGACTCAGAACTCCACATGTATTTCAGCCTAGGTTGCACCACATACCTCTTGATGTACAGCTGCTTTTGTCTGCAGATCACACATATTTAGGCACTTGCAAAACTAAAAGTGGTGAATTGAAAACCAAAATTAATATTGATTTAAACATCCAAACCTGATCTTGCTTACCAGAGTGTGAAATGTTTACACTGAACTGTACTAATTGTGTTACTATAAGAACTGGCAATTGCCCCTTCATTATTAATGTCAACTTACGTGTATCCTGACTATACAGAAACATGACAATTTGGAATGCAATTCTCTGTACAAAGCATCAAGGTCAAGAAAATATTTCCTTTTTATGTGGTTTACAGAACAGCATCTAAAATGCTCTGAACATATACAAGAACAAGGGAAGGAAATAAAGTATTCTTTGTTGTGGTTAAAACAGAAAGAACCCCTGGGGTTTCTCTTTTTGAGAAGACTTGCCACTGCTAATTTTTGCAATAGGGAGTTGATATTTGGCAAAGACAGTTATTTGTCTTTTTTCCTTGTTTCCTTAAACTCTTTATATTTTTAGACTTTTGAAAATATTCGTTATTAGATGCCCTCTGCAAACTTCATAGTGTGTGGCCATTAAATCCTAAATTGTGTGCTCCAACCCCCACCTGCTGCAAGCCCTGGAAATGTACTTGGATTTATGGATATGTACAGTATCTGGGCGTGTTGTACCATTCTGCAAGATGCATCAATCAAGCTGCCCACATTCCAGAACTGCATGAGCTCTGTAGTAATTCACACTTCATTGCATGGGAATTAAAATGGATATATAGAAATATCTCAGCTTTGGACAGTGACTGTCAAGTTTGACCAATGCAGCTTGAATTGAAATGAATTGTAAAGGAACAGAAATGTCTCACAGAGTATGTCATAGATTGGAATGAGTTATTAAAGTTTGTATACCTGATACAGGCTAGTAACTCATCTTTTTAAAACAGTGTGAGTTGCTTCAGTACTCAGTGTCTTTGCAAGTCAAACTGCTGATTTTTAAGACAGGTGTACGTACTGAAATTGGAGGCTCTTCTATAAGGAAAACTTGGTGCAAGGATATTTATATGAATTACAAGAATTTTGGGTGCCTGAGGACTAAATTACTACAAATACAACGTGCAATCAAAATGACTAATACTAAAAAAACTGAAAGGTGCTTTGAACATTAAACCCCTTACTACTATTATTGACAGTAATTAAGTTATGCACTTCTGTTCTTAAAGCATTAACTAAGATCAACTCAACTGATAAATGAGTCTCTTGCTGAAAGCACACATTTTCTTTTACAGTGGTGCTGAAACACGGGATGTCATTTATCTGGTTCTACAATTATACTGACATCATCACTCCGGTTTCTGGATGTTTTCCAAGCATATATTATATATTCCTGTGAATCAGAAGCTTTATGACAGTGGAATGATTAAGAGGTGAAAGCTGACATTTTAGACAGCATTTGAATTGATTACAAAGGTATGTCCATTTTATAATGAAGAAAAATTGTCAAAATGTTTAAAAATGTTTGAAGTTCATTGAGAATTCTTGTGAGCAATATCTGGAACTTTTTAAATTTTTCAGAACTTCATGTTCTGAGTGTCATAATTTTACTACTATGTTTTTATAGGTGTTAGTACACTGATTTATATATGCTTTAAAAAACATTTTTAAAATTTTCTGAGATACTTCATGAGTTCTTATGTAAAAATGCATCATAGGAAATATAATATGCCATAACACAATAGTATACATATTGCAGTAGTTAGCTTTCTATTTAACTTGTATCTTAGAAGTCATTATGACACTTCATCAGCTTAGCTTGAAATTAAATGTGGTGTGCTAATGCTTTTATTTTGGTTAGGTTTGTGTCTGTCCAGCCACTCTGAATATACCAGAAAAAACAGCTTTTTCAGGAGGAATAGTAACATTATATTTTTACTCATGTATATTCACTCATATACATCCACAGGTACACAACCCTGTGTTAAGCTGGCTCTGCTAGAAGGCCTGTTGTCAGTATGATTCCTGAGGAAAGAAATTCCAGAAATCACCTCTGTAAGTAAGTGGTCTTTCATATATTATTTCCTTTATATATTCATTTTCTAAGCATTTGCTATTTGTTTGCTAGCACAAATATGCCTAATTCTACATGCATATATTTCATATAAATTATACACACACATCAAATTGCCATTGGAACTTTATATTCTATCACTGTTTATATGTTTTAATATTTTTCTTTGCGTAAGAAGTGGCTTGTTGACCAAAATGAAGTTTATCAGGCAAATGCTAAATTTAAGAAATATTATCAGTCTGTGGTTTTCTCTAACCACTAAACAATCCAGCTCCACTTTTCTAAGTAATAATTCTGTGGATCTACATACCAGTAACAAACATTTACATCAGAACAACTCCAAAAATTACCTGTTACTGCTCTGAGCCCAACAAAACCTGAGCAAGTTCAACAAAGGGCAGCTGCAATACAGAACACTTGAAAGATGTTTGAAAGATATTCCCTTCTTGCTGCTCTGAATGGATGGCTGTAATGAAATACTTTGACCTTTAATTCAGAGTGTACCTACTTGTCTTGGTATGGAATGACTTGATACTTAAAAAAAAAAAAACCCAAACCTGAAATTAGGGCATAAAATTTAAAAATAAAATTTTCTGTAGCTATTTTATGTCTTGAAAGTATAGCTGAAAATACTAAATGTACTTTTCCTCATTTTCAAAGAAAATATGAATATTTCAATGTTTCCCAATGTTCTTAAATTCTTAATTTCAGACAGATCCCAAATGAAACCAAAGATGGGTTTCAGTCTGGCATGTCAGTGTCTGATCAGTGCTTATTAAGCCTGTTGGCTGACCTCTAACTGTCACACTTGGACCTCACTACAGTTTTGAGAGCAAAGTTTGAAAAATGATTTCTGAATTTGAAAAACTTGTTCTTGACCCCATTTCCCAAAGTTAGCAATGAAGACATTTTGGAGCTATTAATTGCCTTTACCACTAGATTGTCACTGTCCCCTCAGTGTGTTCTGATGGAAGGGTGGAAGGCCAGAGCGTGAGAAGATTTGCAGTGATATTTCATGGAGCTGAAGTGGCTTCCTCTGAAACAGGTCTTTCCTTTTTTATACCACTGTACAGTCAGGCCCTGAGCAGGGATGGATTATGCTGCCAGGTATTTTATCCTGTTACAGTCTTTGCTGCAACCTTACTTGTCTGATATGAGTGATTTTCACCATATCTTCTGTTTTCTGGAGAGAGCATATGGACAGAAACACACTGATTTGCCTAATGTAATTTTTTTTCCACCTACTTCCTCCCCTACCCCCCTCCTTTTTTTCACTGAATAATATAAAGGAGAAAAATTATAGATCCAAGGAAAACTTGGAAAGAGCTGTGTAGGATAAAGATAAGAAGTTCTTTTTTACTCCTTTATTAACATTTTAAATTCAGGTCCTAATGTCTCATCAGAGGAGATCTTGATAGTAACTTGTATATCCAGCTAGAAATAGTAGCATTGTAGAATCATGGAATGGGTTTGAAAGGGGGTTGAATGGGTTGAAAGGGACCTTAAAGGTCATCCAGTTCCACCCCCTGCCATGGGCAGGAATACCTTCCACTACCTCAGGTTGCTCCAAGCTCTGTCCAACCTGCCTTTGGATACTTCCAGCGGTGGGGCAGCCACAGCTTCTCTGGGCAACCTGTGCCAGGGCCTCATCACCCTCACAGGGAAGAATTGATTCCTAACATCTAATCTAAACCTACTCTGTGCCAGTTTGAAGCCATTCCCCCTTATCTTGTCACTACATGCCTGTGTAAATAGTCCCTCCCCATCTTTCTTGTCAGCTCCCTTCAGGTACTGGAAGGCCACAATTACATCACCCCAAAGCTTTCTCCTCTCCAGGCTGAACAATCTCAATTCTTTCAGCTTTTCCTTACAGCAGAGCTGCTCCATCCCTCTGATTAACTGATTATGGAGTCCAGAGGAGGTCACTGGACTCGCTCCGACAGCTCCATGTCCTTCCTCTGCTGGGACCCTGGAACTGGAGGCAGCTCTGGAGGTGGGATCTCACCTGAGTAGAGCAGAGCAGAGTTCCCCCACTCCCCTGCTGCCCAGGCTGTGGGATCAGCCCAGCACACAGGGGTGTTCAGGGTCAGGGCATGTCCAGCCTCTCACCCATCAGCACCCCAAGTCCTTCTGGGCAGGGCTGCCCTCAGCCAGTTTAAAATGTTCTTACCAAAAACAGCATTGTGAAATCCTCTTCCTCCTTTGTTCTTCTGCCTTAGGAATTCTGCTTTATTGTGATGTCTCACTGTGGGATTATTCAGATGACAACAGCTCTGGTACACACAGGCACACTTTAACTGGTGAAGGGGATTTTTCAAAAGAGCTTACATCTCAGCTGAATTTTGCCATCTCATTCTCTGAGGCATATTATCTCTTAAAAGCACATAATACATCTGCCCGAATGCAGGTTCTTTACAAGGGCTTTATTTTAATTGTTGTCTCATTCTCAGTTGGCCAAACACAGCCCTGCATAATAAAATCAGTACTGCACAAGTGCAGCTTCACTGACCAGAGATGTCATTCTTGAAGGCTCTGTTCACTTCAATGGGGAGTTTCTGCTCAAAAGCAAAAATCCTGGGGCAGAAAAAACCCCCAAAACAACGAGAGGAAAAGATCTTTACTTTTAATTACCTTGAAAACAGGCTTCTCAAAGCTTCAGTTTTCCCAACAGTCAACCCACGAAGCAGTTGACAAGTACAGCACAGACAAAAAAAAGGTTCTGTGCCTGAAACAATTACCAGGCAGAGCAGAGCAAAGGCCCAGTGCAAACACAGGTAGTGGGTTGCAGCAGCGTTCCCTTGAATCCACACCAAAGCCACTCTCAGTTACAACAGTAATATATAGATTTTTGACAAGGAAGTGATTTTTGATGGAGGTGGCAGTATCAGATAGCTTTGCTGCTCTTTTATCAGTGTAGCAGTGGAGATGTCTTTTGTCAAGAGAAAAGGGAAAAATGCCAAGGGAAATAAAATCAACCAGGCAAAATTTTACATTCAGGCTGATGAGCTGTGTGCCCTTGTTTGGAAAATTTAAGGCACTACAAGCTCAAAAGCCTTTTTGCCAATATAGTTTTAAATGGTAATGCAAAGGCTTTTGTGAGATTGCTCACAATTTACTCTAATAAAACCAGTTCCAGTGTGAGTTTAACAAGTGCTTGTGCTGTGTGTTACGTAGCAATACTGTAGAGACACCTTCTTAAGTTTCTGATGGCAGAAATCTCATAGCTGTGGCTCTGTGGGTTTGCTTGGCTTTTGGAGGTTTTGAACAGAGATTTGACAGAGAATGTGAGGGAAAGGATACTCAAGATGTTAATCCTGGGGGAACCTCTGGTTACAGGCACTTTAGGAAAAGAGATTTGGGAAAAGTTCAGATGTAGATTTATATCTAATCTTTCAAACTTTTCCATCTTATTAAATGACTTTAAAATGTAATTAAATCTTAATATCTATGAATCAGATGCTTTCCCTGGACATTTCAGAACCATACTATAAATAAGAATTTTATGCAATCATTTTCTCCATTCAGTAATGTGCTAGGAATGGAAAAATCTTAGTTGAAATAAACAGAACTAGGTTGAACTTGCCCTATTCCTGTTCCCAGCCATCTGGATTAATTTCTCTCATCTGATAATGAGTTCCCATCATCATTTATTCCTCTAGTAGATTTTTGGACCTGTTCTCAACCCTGCAATCTCTAATATTGCCTGAAGAGTTTACAAAGATAGCCTGGAAGGTAGTTGCAAAGGCATTCTCATTACTTTAATGAGTTTCTGACCACTGGTCCAGGCTATCAGCCCTATATTTAATTAAAGTAGCACAAGCTGTGTATCCACCAAATGTCTAGGCAAAGGTCAACAATCCGTTCCAGACTTCAGCACTCCTGTAATTGTTGTTAGGACTGGAAGGAGGCTCTAAAAAAAGACAGAAACTCAGCTCAACTCAGGGCTTTTAGAGATGCTGTGGTCCTGTTTCTTTTTCTCTGTTAACCTTGAACTGGCTCAGACAGGCAACTGCTTCCTGTCATCATTTTTGGGGAGATACTTGGCTACTCAGCTCTCTGAACCAGTCAGTGGCCCATCCACATGCTGTTTGATGGAAGAGCTGGCACAGGAATGGTGTTTTATGAATAAGGGTGAAGGAAAAGGAAAAAACCAAGTAATCTGATTATTTTAAGCTTCTGTAGAGCAGCATCTTTCCAGCCTCCACTTGTACATGCGCAAGTAGAATTTAGGGTTTTTAAAAAATCTTCATGAGGATGTTTTACTGCCTTCTATTTCCTCAGACTTTCCTCCTGTTACCTCCTGAGGCAAATCCGTCACAGGGGGAACAGATATCCCACCCAGTCTGC